GATAAAAAAAATCTACTATGCTCAGTTTCTTTTCATTTATTTTGAACAGACAGCAGTACAAATTAAATTTTTTCCCACCTAGATGTAAAAATATTAAATATTATTACATTATGTTATATATATATAAAATCCGCAATACATATATACATACAAGGAATAAATTATTGAAATATATTTGATTTAGTTTACAGATAAACAAGGGGAAAAAAAACTGTGTGACACGTAACTAGGCATGGGCCGATTACCGGTTTCAAGGTATACCGCGATTCGAAAATTTCACGGTTTCAAAACCACTAATATTTCCCGTTATACCGTTCCTGCGGTATGCTTTGTTTTTCATGTCTCCTCAAAGACTGAAAGTGTAGGAATCCCTCAGGTTGAGTTTTTTTTTTACCCAGTCATTTAAAAATAACACATTTTAAGAGCTGTAATGACAATACCATGATATTTTTGCTTAAGGTTATCATACCGTCAAAATCTCATACCGGCCCATGCCTACACGTAACGAAGCCTATATACGCAGAGTTTCAGTTCATTTTTGTGACACGCTTAATTTGTTCACAGAAAGAAAACTCAAATGGCAAAAAGCGACATCCTATTTGTTTTTAATTGTGAGTGTACACAAATAAAAGCAGACCTTTATACAGTGATGCATTATTAATAAGACAATAAGTGTTTAAAGTTGATTCTGCTGGTATTAGTTGAACAGTTGAAGTGATCGCGCCGGCGCACACGCGCACACACACACAACACATCAGTTCCAGCATTGCTAACTTGACAGCACAGTTGGTACTTTATCAAAATAAAATACGGTAAACCAAAAACCAGCGCGCCTGCCTCTGTGTCACCGTTGGAACGTGACTGAAGTACAAAGCCTATAATTTACATAATAAATAATAGTTTAGCATTCAAGTACATTACATCACAAATATGGAAATATTATGGAATATTTGGATTTGTGCCGAATGAGAGAGGTAGGATACACGAGCACAAAGCTCCATTTCGCAAACAGTTGGGTGCACAAGGCTTTAAAGTATACTCCTTTGTCAGTCTGTGAGAGACGCCTTCAGAATCAGCACATGGTCACTGTCTAGTGGGCTTTGTTTTCAAGTGCGCAACTCATGGTATTCGCTGTTCTTGTGCTGGCAGCCGGATATCAAACAGCGTTGCATTGCGTGACGGTTCGGTACGAATACATGTATCGTTCCACCCCTACTCGCTACCATAATTTAACACGTTGTAAACGTTTTATCAATTTACTAGCAGTTGCTAACATATTGTAACATGAAGCTAACATGAAACATTGTAGCAAAATGCTAAAACACTTTACCAATACTGTAAAACATTGCTAAAACATTTTACAACGTAGCATGTTAATATTTAGCTTGCAAACATTGTAACATGAAGCTAGCACATTTTACGATGCTGCTAACGTTTTTTTTTT